TACTGCATCTGTTCCCTTTTTTATTATTAATTTTCAAATTCCCACCATTTTTGACAAAAAGGAGGTAATCTACACTCTGCTTCTGCCCATTTCATTTTCTTTAATTTGGAAGATAAGTATGAAAGCATGCCAAAGAAGTTAATTCTCCGTTAACAGTTTATTTTCTGGCAGCCCAGTGCCTTTGTATATGAAAAACAGATAGAAATAAATGTTGACTGAATCACAACAACCTAGTCACAACCATCCCTAAATTTAATGAAAAGTAAACATATGAAGCAGAATCTAAAAAGTTCATTAGGTATCAAGAATTGTTTTGTGTTATCACTCCTCCCTGCATTTTAAAATAATGCTTTTGCACAAAATTAATGTGATTTAAACAAAAATATTAGAAATCAATCACAGCTTACACCTCAATTGTCTTCCCTCCCATAGAAGTGTTACTGGTCCTTTCAATAATCAGTCAGTCTAGCAACATGAAGCATATCGCAGCAATTTAATATTAGTAACAGCATTTTTCTTAGAATGTTCTCTCCTTTCCAGCATAGATGRTGGGCTGTTTCTGACATGCTAAAATTGTTGAAAAAGCACCACAGTAAGTATGCTGCTAGCTAACAGATGCCACTAGAAAAACCCAACAGATAATGCTAGGTACTGTTCAATTACATAGATAGCTATGTATAGCCCTGTTCTGTAAACAGAGAAGTTAGCTTATATTTTAGAATATAACAGCATAAATGCATCAATCGATGCACGAGGCACACGGCAATGCTACCAAGGAATTCTGGGGACATCCAAAAGCACGACAGCAGAGCCTCCGTGATTAACTAATGCCACAAGAACCAAACCTGGAGGTGGAATAAGAGAGTGATGTGCCTTATTTATTATACATGTATTACAATTAATGTAATGGAGTTGCTGAAACAAGGCTGCTAGAAGAACTGATCCACAGCAGGTATCTGAAACCACAAAGGCTACAGCACTGCTAAGAACAACTGTGCACCCAAAGGGCCACGTTCTTGGACATGCTACTTTCTAGAGATATTCCGACATTTGATCTTTAAAAATGAAGGAATGCAGAAAGAAGAATCACATAACTGCAACATCAAGAACTGAAACAGACAGTCTTCACCATAATATAGACCTTCATCTCCTCTTTCTCTATTTTCTCTCTCTATATTTTTTTTAATGTTTCAAGAGACACACACACAAGTATACAGATTATCTGGACCTAGAAGCATGGTTTCTTCTATTGTTTCAGTAATTTTTCCTCACTTAAAAGGTGGCATTCAATACTGCTCAGGATGGTGCATACCAGCAAACAAAATAAATCTGTTTAAATCACATCTCCCAGCAAATTTTGTCGTATCATAAATATCTCCTATCTCCTCCATGCATGAGRAAGAGAAGTGTCACACGAAGAAGTCATATTTTGGGTTCAATGATTTCCTACTGCTTCAGACTTTCTCAACTTCATAAGCATATGTAAATAGAAACCACATCTGATTGCAACCAGAAGGAATGGTTTGGTTTGTAAGAAAAAGAAGAAATATTCTTAATGATTATTCTATTACATAAAAAGAGTGAAAAATGTTTAGATGCTAAAATCTGTGCAGATTATTAAATATCTTGCATCTTCTGTGTAATCTTTTCCACTAGCACACTAATATGATTTTTCATGATTATTTTCTTATGAACCAAGAACAACAGACCTGTACCCTCTGAAAATAGACATGGATAAGCTTCATTTGGCAATCACATTGATTTGAGAGGTAATTTCAGAAGATTCTTCCATCAAGATAGCATTCCTGTAAGTATTCACAAAGCTGAAACACCAGGAGGGAATGAAAGACAGAAAAAGGGGGGAGGAGAGTCTAAAACCTTAAAATAGAGCTTAAAACAAACATGGTCAGTCTCATAGCAGTCTCATAGCATAGTCTGTAAAGTTACATGACTGACAGTCGATTCATCGAGACTATACCACAAAAGGTCTGTGTTTTTYCAGTCATTTGAAAACATGCAAATTAGAATTACTAAAGAGATTCAATAGCAGAAAATGCACATTAACTAAATAGCARAGATTGCTAAGCCACATATTGTTCTACACAGTCTCTCCACACGTTCTCCATCACAAAAGTTACAGGGAAAGGCAAACCTAAACTCTGCGGAAATAGAATAGAATTTTAGAATAGCAAACTGCAACCTTTCTTGTTTTTTTTTTTTTTTTTTTTCCCCCCACAGGCATATTTAATTTAAAAGTCATTTAGCTGGTATATATTCTCAGTGTTTGAAAAGTATACAACATAAGCGGAAGTTCTGAAGACAAAATACAGTTTTGCAGAGCATTTTCTTTTCCTCTTTAAGGCAAGGATTGCATATACTTYCCCTTAATATTCATTGTCTGCTTTTAATATATTTAAATCCAATGTTTTCATGCACATTTTATTACTCTATTTGCAATATCCAGAATCARCTTTCTCTGTAGTAATATACCAATTCATACAAAGCAAAGGATCCTCAGCAACCTCTAATTTTTGCCACTTAATTTTGCAACTTAATTCATGCAAGGCAACAGAAGACTATCCATAGTGTAGCAGTGATACAGGCCTCCTGCAAGCAAGTCCAGCTTGGTGAAGAGACTTGGATTTGACCAGCTGGTTCTGTCCTGAAAATAGGGAAATCTGCAAGATGAGGCCAAGGCCAGAATACCCAAGAGACGCACTAAATCAGTGCAATTTCTGCAACCTCCCATAGGCAGGACTCTAGAGCTTAAAATCTGTTTTCCTTGGCAAGTGCCACAGTGAATGAGTCTGCAGCTCCCATGGGATTGCCATTACCACTACCCTTGAACTATTTTCACTAGCACAGCTGCCATTTTAGGTGAAGGGATTAGAGAATGAAAACAGGCAGACTGCAAGTGAATAAAGTTCAGATGCTACAATAACGGATCTATGAAACCATTAAAAATATGGTTTGGTTCACAATGCAAAACTCTGGTGGTGCTGCAGATGCGTAATTTTTTTAACTTTCACTAATGTGGAAAATCTGTTCTGGCAGGAAGTGATTTGAGATGCTGAGGACGAGTTTAATTTCAGCAGCAGATCTTTTCCTCTGCAACTCTTGGGGGGAAGACTGTGAGAACAGCTCTAACCCAACCCTACCAGTATGTGAGGACAACAGGTGATACCTCAGGAGCAGTAAATCTGTTTTTTTCCCCTCCCTTCTTCACCAGCGACAGCAACATTACCTGATGTATTCCTGGAAAGCAGTCACACACTCCAAAGATAAGGATGATGAAAGAAGCTACACAGAACACAGAACTCTAGATTGAGGAATATCAAGGAGGAGGATCTGATCTGACTTCTCATGCTTTAATCAGTAGAAGTGTTCTGACATTATATGTCAGCATAGAAAGCATATTTTAACACTTACATGTAGAGACTGTATTCTGAATACAAATTAATAAAACAAGAAAGAAAAAAATAGAGCGTTAGAGTGGTGGCACTAGGTCAGTGTATTCAAGAATCTGTCTCCAGGAGCAAGTCTAAGTAGGTGTCTAYGAAAGAGTATCAGGCCAGGCAAGCACAGAGAAATACTTCCCCAAAATACTGTTTCAGGGTCCRGTGATGGGCAGCTCAGGAGCTTTCTGAGCCAGGGACAGTAGATTAAAAAGCTACCTGAATCATCTGTACATTAGGTACCCAGCTTTAAGGACTGTGTAGCTACTGTGTAAAAGTAGTCAGTAGTCCTTATTTTTACAAGTTCTGCATTTTAACAAAAATATATTGGCTAGTCAAATTTGCTCCAAGATATCCAAAGCCCTACTGCATATAATCATCTTTTTGCTAAAAGCAGTTTGGTAAGCCATTTGGTTAACTATCACAACAAATCATTATTAATAAAGTTCTGCTAAATCCAAACTTTGGATATCTTAACAACTCACCCCAAACTTTTTTCAAGTTCATTAACCTCTAGCATATTTTTTCTCTAAATACAGGCTGTCAGAGTGGTACTTTCTTCCATCTGTTAAACTACCGTGCTCTGAATTGCACAGAAATGTAGCTGAATAAAAAAAGCAATTCATTGAATTTAATAGTTTATATGAGACTATTTTATTTCCATTTACTCAATGGCAGAATCTCACAAAGCCTGAAGAGTACAAGACTTGGATAAATATGCAGGCAGTCTGTTGAGTGATAAAAATCTGAGCTTTCCCTCCCCACTGTGTAAAATTTAAACTAAATCATTTTTTTTTGTTAAGGATTGAATTAAAAGCTACAAATTTGTTTCTGGATGTCCATCCTTGAACAAAAAAAGCCTCACAAGCAAATAGAATGTTGAGTTTGTGGCAAAAGGAAATATTCCTACAAATGCCAAAATGGAAGCTGAAAAGAATTATTGGTGAGTTAACCTCCTGAAGTTTTCTAGCAAGGCATACCAAGTAGTATAGTAAATGCCTTGGGGCATTTTCATTCCATTCTTGGATGGGATAAACTCATGGAAAGTCTCACAGTGTTTACCACATCTCGACTTTGGGAAGTCACATTCTTGACTGTAATAGTGCTTTTTGACTGTTAAATCTTTCATGAAGCTGAACAATCATGTACATTGATATGTTCTTGTCGTTCTGCTACAGTAGCTTCACATTATCATTATACGAATTCCTATGCTWAAAGGTGCCATACAATATGATCTAAAATGCATTTTAATATATCTTTGTTGTATCAAACACGGCGACACCAGAAAGAGCACAACTGTGCTCTTCCACGCTCTTCTCTGCCCCGAAGTATGGTACCACACCACTGTAGCTAAACCCCATGATTCTCTTTCAGAAATTACAGTTCATAGATTTATTTTATTTATTTAAATCTCCATTTTTAATATGATTGAGGGCTGCACATCTAGCCAATTACTGCAAGTATCTATAACAACTGTTGAGAAGCCTGTGGCAAAAATTAGCAGAATGAAATTGGTACTATAGCATGTAATAGGATAAGGGGTACCTGGTGAGGTGCAGTTGGTGCTCAGATTTACTCAGCAGTTCTGTCAGTTTTAGACACTCCTCTCTGGCTCCTGTCATATCCTGCTGGGCTTGTTCCAAACGCTGTTTGTTTCCATGTAGCTCTAATCCCAGTTTTTCTATTTTCTTAGAAAGACATATAACCAAAGAAAGTTATTTAAGAAATACAGAGAAAGACATTCTAAGACAATAAATCTTAATGTGATCAAAGATCCTGAAAAATAACGCATTTTGTTTTAGAAGGTTATACCAGCTGAAGACAAGCAAGATAAAGTATTTGACATTACAATCTTAAGAAATGTCAAAATTTGTATCTCATTTAAATGCATTAATATAGAATCAATGTTATTTCTTTAAGGGCTTAAGAGATACATATATTTAATGATTTTCTGATTTTCCCATCTAACAGGTTGCTTATTTGTGTCCAGACTTTACTGTGTTTGAAAGCCAATAAGCAGAAGAGCAGAAGCCAGCTTCAGAAGTCACTGGACATACAGTGGCTCTTGTGCTTAAACTAAACCAAGTAAATCTAGCCTGGTTAATGAGTCTACTAATTTATTCTATGTAACCATCAGTGCATCTGAATGACTAGCACCGTTGTTTCTAGTGAAAAAATAGCAAACTTACTATCTCTAATTGTATCATTATAAAAATGAAAACAWTTTTTTTTCATAAATATTATTTAAATGGATATATTTTGCTTTTAGTCCATTTATAACAGATGTATTTTTAAGAACACATTTGCACCATGATACTGAATTCTATCATAATCATGCTTTTAATTAGGCCAGTGAAACACTGAATAAGCTAACAATGCATTTTTTAAATATAATAACCATTCTGCACTCCCTAAGGAGTTAGGGTTGAATAACTATTTTACTTAAATTCATGCCATATCTTGTTTTATGTCAGCTTCCTCATATAGACAAGCCCTAGTAGTTTCTTCAGTTAACATAATATTCATTCAAACATCCTAAAAGATCAAACAAATGTAATTTGGCTCCACCTGCACCATACTTGCACCTGAAACACCTTCACAATTATGTCTGTTCTTCTCTTGAAAATGTTAGCCTAAACGTTAACCTACTTTACAGTAATTCATGATATATCTCAGACAAAATATAACCTTCTCATCCAGAAAAAAAAGTTTTATTCTTTCTCTCTCTTTTTTTTTTCTTCTCTAATCACCTAACATTATCTACATGCTTTTTTCTTTTCAGACCTTTTAGAGAAGATCCATAATGGAAATGTTTATTAAAATTTGAATGCTGCCTTGCTTTATTACATAAACTACCTACCAAACATAATCAATAATTCTAAGTTCTAATGCAAGACAGAGATACTAATTGCAAAGTCATTAGTACAGAGCCCTCAAAACAATCTAACAACTTACTACACTGTTAAGATTATTTTAAAACCAGATATGCAATGGTATTCAGATAAATAATTTAACTGAGTAACCCCAGAGGTTTGCATRCTGTCTTGTAGAACAGAAGTCTCAGAGGATTCCCTACATTCTGCTTCGGAGCAGCAGCTCATTAATCTTATCTCCTATTCTTAGTAAAGTGAGACTTGAGTTCTTCCCTGTCTTTACAGGTTAGAGAAGTTTTGTAACACTATCAAAATGTGTTTCAAGAACACATCCATTCAGTAGACGTTTGAAAAACAAAAACACAATTTAGTTGAAAAGTATCAACTAAATATTTTAAAAAGCACAACTAAAAGTATAAATATTCTACAGTTACTCCTTCCTGGAAAAGTTTCAGTGAACAGATGGGCTATACATTTTCCCTGGAGTTAAACAAGCTCAGGTTCTGACTCAGAACTGGCCTGTAGGTCTAAGTACAAGAACCTCTGGCTCTGGTGAAAGTGTCCTGCCTTCACCGGTCTTCATCAGAGGCTCAGCCTGCAGGTTTGCACCCAAGAACGGATCCTTTGATTTTAGTTGTCATGAAAATGCAAAAAATAATTCACAAGCATCAATGCCATAACAGAATCTTCAAAGAACAATAGGAGTCTTACCACTTCCATGAAAGTAAATTAAGCTAGTCCAGCTCTTGAACAATAAACCATTTTACTCCTGTTACTTTCATCACTAACCCCAAAATTGAGTATCATCTTTTACAGATATACATACACATATCAGTATTTAGACACACACAGGGGTGTGTGTGTGTATTTCAAAACAGCAGTCTTCTAGAGGTCACCAAGATACACACTATATGAAAAGAAAGAATTCTAACGAAGAAATCTGGCAATGACTATGGCAGAAACAGTAATCAACTCATGAGAAAAAAGATGGAGGAAACGCATTGCTGTCCAAGAGAAGATGTTAACAACTTGAGAACCAGAAATGTCCAATCCAGGAATGCTGAGGGATACCAACTAAATTTTTCTTCTCCAAACACCAGACACAGTTAACTAAAAATAACTTAATAGGAGCCATGCATCATCATGGTGAAAACACCACCCCCAAGCTCTAAATGCTACATCTTACTTCCTTTTCATAACTCAAATAATAGTTTAAAACATGTAAAGTCTCAGAACTTTAGAACAGCTCATGCAACAAAAAACTAGCATCTTTTTTTTTTCTGGAAAAGATGAATCCCACACATGTGGGAACATCCTAAAATATGTCAAATCAACACCATCACTAGAGCATCACAGCATAAGTGAAATTAAAAATACAGAGAAATTTCCAGAATCAGTAAGTCCTCTTCACTGTTCCTGTAAGGAACCATATCCGGCAACATCTTTCCAAAACTATGCAGATTCAAACTACTTTCCATATTACTTTTAGTTCCCATTTCTTCTCCTGGGAAGCTGTAAACAGTTCTACATTATAGTTGCTATCTGGGCCTCAGCTTAATTGTAGGGAGAAACAGAAACAAACCACCAACTAAAGTATTTTGATGATAACTCCACTTCTCATGCAGTGTTAATTTGATCCCTCAGTGCCTATCACTTGTGATACAGCTTTTTGCAACATGATCAGATAGTATTTCTTCAAGATACTTAACTTTTCAATGTATGTGAGAGACAAGGAATAGTGTGTAGAACTGCAAAAAGACAGATGACAATCTTGCATTTAAGAAAATCTGAGACAGATTTTCAGTATAACAAGGAACAGAATTATCATAATGTATATGTACAACAAGACTACATTAAGGTTGGAACAGGCAACTTCTGGTGCTTAACTCTGCAACTTTAATATTCTTTTTCCTTAAGAATACAAATTTAAAATTGTTATTATTATTTTTAAAATATTATTCTGTGGCTTGCATTGCAGCTGCCTAAACTCCCAGGAATATCAACAGGCCCTTTGCTGTTGCAAGATAGCAGGTTAAGTCTCAGTAAGAGAATCATGGCTATTAGTGAACTGCAACATGTGAACATCATTCCCCATGCATATCCAATTCAGCTTGGAAAGCAAGGAAAGAAGTCATACTAAACAAAAAGTAAAGTACTGGTGAAATAGGACTGCAATACAATTTTAGTCTGTATGAATTATTCTTTTTTCAGCATTAAAACACAAATGTCTGTCAGTTGTAACTTTTTGAAGTTTACAGTATTCTTGGCGATTCTGTTCTTGTAACGCTCAAAATAAGTATTTCTTAATTTCTAATGTAATTTCTAATCTAACCATAATTTGTATTTCACAAGGCATTTTCAGGTGAGTACACTGTGGAGCTGCTCATTCAGGGAAATAAATGTAATTTATTGGAAAATGTAAAAGATGATTTTTCAAATACCAGCTCAATCTTTAAGTAGTCACTTGAGGAATTATCTGAAACTATCTTCACCTAGCAATGCTTATGTATGTGGTTTACAAAAAAAAAAAAAAAAAAAAGCTATTTAATTAACTAGCCATCTCTTTATCCTTATAAAATTGGATAAAATAAAATAAAGTCATTCTGTTTAAAATGAGCCAAATTAAAGATTAAAATAATTATTTAATTCTTTTCATACTGATGCTCATTCTATTGTATGCTGAAAAATGCAACTTTAAATTCCAAACTAGCAGATGTTTTTCATAGAATTTTAAATAGCAGCAAAGCTGACAGAGAAGACAACGCATCTTTTACAAATGAGAATGATTAAGCAGTGATAAAAGAACTCATACTCCAAAATAAATGCAGAAAAGAAACAACTTTAGAAGCCTTTTAAACAAAGGAAAAAATATAAAAAAATACAAAACAAATGAATTAGAAACTGATTTATGACATACACTGTTATACCAGTCTTCTTTTACATCAGGTAAAAAAAGCACACAATACAACCTAAAAATAATTTTGCACCGACTGTTATGTCATCACCTACATTCAGGAAACAATTCTGGAGGGGAAGATACTTTTGCGTTTACTTTTTTTTTTCCTAAGCCTTATTTTATATCATAATCATAAAAATTCAAGGGGCATAAAAGAGAATCAAAATTAGAGAAAGAAAGCAAAGACAAAGTAATAAAAAATATTTACTATTTTTCTAGTATTTACAGGTACATCCCTAAAAGGCAATCAACACCTACAAAAATCACATACACGTTCATTTAATACGTAGTAAAATTTTACAGGCCCTGATGCTCACGTGTTTATTTTCATTTACTAAAATAGCTCTTCAAGGCAATGAAATCAGTGATAGTGTATAGGACCAAAGATATAATTAAACTTCTTCAAAGAAGTGCCATAAGCATAGTCATTCAAGTACTCTTAAATGTGGCATGTAAAAGCAACAGGGAATTTTTGCAGGGTATTGAGCAAAAGGGTGTTAAATAGTAGCTGGGATTTCATCTCATTACTTTCCTGAAAATATTTGCTCTCAGGTTGCCAAAATATTTGAATTGCAGCAATGCTACAGGAACAAAACTTCCAAACTCAAGGAGATTATCACGGTAGCATTTTAACAGTCAACATAGCTGCACCAAAGATTAGAGATTATCAGCAGCCACTAGCCCCTACCAGGTAAGAGAGTGGTTTTGAACTACAGTAGAACAAGACTGTTTTAATGGTTTGCATTTATGGGGGTAGAGAGTAGATACTTTGCTTGCTGGTACAAGAATTTCAGAAAAGTAGGAGAGCACATGGCAGGGGTGGGAGGGGGAAGTAAAGTAGATTACTTTTACTTCATCA